TTACAGATTGGGTGATATTTTGTGATGGTTGAAAAAATTACATCTTGTAGCTGAAATCCCTTCCAAAGAAAATAATATAATTTACTTACTTCATATTCAGTATTTGTACATCTCTATGTGCAGTGAGCGCAGTTGAGTGTATGTTTGCATGCATGTACTGTAGTTATGCCTGAATGCATGCTTGAACTTCCACATACTGTACATTATGCATTTAAAAATACACAGCTGAACTCTGCCCTAGTGCCAGTACCTCCCTTTGTGCCACACTGAGGCCATGAGACAATAGTATCATGGAAGAAGCATGGGGTTCAGGACCTCTTGGGTTGCTCTTGGAAAAGTCCTACAAACGTATTAAAATCACTGGCACTGTAAAACAGGGCGCTGGCATGACTGGGAATGACTGTCTCTGAGCATCGGGGCATTGAGTTGATCTTGGCGGTTTTCTGCTGCTGTGGGCAAACAGGGAGGATGTATAATGAGGAGGAGATCCGCAGAGGTCACGCAAATGAGACCTCAAAACCGTACAGAGAAAGCCTGTATGTGTATGAGATGTTTTAGTGTGTTTACCATATACACTCACCTAAAGGATTATTAAGAACACCATACTAATACTGTGTTTGACCCCCTTTCGCCTTCAGAACTGCCTTAATTCTACGTGGCATTGATTCAACAAGGTGCTGAAAGCATTCTTTAGAAATGTTGGCCCATATTGATAGGATAGCATCTTGCAGTTGATGGAGATTTGTGGGATGCACATCCAGGGCACGAAGCTCCCGTTCCACCACATCCCAAAGATGCTCTATTGGGTTGAGATCTGGTGACTGTGGGGGCCATTTTAGTACAGTGAACTCATTGTCATGTTCAAGAAACCAATTTGAAATGATTGGAGCTTTGTGACATGGTGCATTATCCTGCTGGAAGTAGCCATCAGAGGATGGGTACATGGTGGCCATAAAGGGATGGACATGGTCAGAAACAATGCTCAGGTAGGCCGTGGCATTTAAACCATGCCCAATTGGCACTAAGGGGCCTAAAGTGTGCCAAGAAAACATCCCCCACACCATTACACCACCACCACCAGCCTGCACAGTGGTAACAAGGCATGGGTCCATGTTCTCATTCTGTTTACGCCAAATTCTGACTCTACCATCTGAATGTCTCAACAGAAATCGAGACTCATCAGAGCAGGCAACATTTTTCCAGTCTTCAACTGTCCAATTTTGGTGAGCTCTTACAAATTGTAGCCTCTTTTTCCTATTTGTAGTGGAGATGAGTGGAACCCGGTGGGGTCTTCTGCTGTTGTAGCCCATCCGCCTCAAGGTTGTGCGTGTTGTGGCTTCACAAATGCTTTGCTGCATACCTCGGTTGTAACGAGTGGTTATTTCAGTCAAAGTTGCTCTTCTATCAGCTTGAATCAGTCAGCCCATTCTCCTCTGACCTCTAGCATCAACAAGGCATTTTCGCCCACAGGACTGCCGCATACTGGATGTTTTTCCCTTTTCACACCATTCTTTTTAAACCCTAGAAATGGTTGTGCGTGAAAATCCCAGTAACTGAGCAGATTGTGAAATACTCAGACCGGCCCGTCTGGCACCAACAACCATGCCACGCTCAAAATTGCTTAAATCACCTTTCTTTCCCATTCTGACATTCAGTTTGGAGTTCAGGAGATTGTCTTGACCAGGACCACACCCCTAAATGCATTGAAGCAACTGCCATGTGATTGGTTGATTAGATAATTGCATTAATGAGAAATTGAACAAGTTCCTAATAATCCTTTAGGTGAGTGTAGAAGTGCTGCTTTATTGAAACAGTACATTTAAGGCAATAATTTCACGTACAATGCACCTGTGAAGCAGTCTCATCGTCACTTAGTCAAATCTACCTGCTTTACTTAATGTTATTTTCAGCGGGGAAGCCAACATGAAACCTTCTCTGTTGGATGTTAATTGTGTGGCGCCTTCATTCATTTGCCCGCAGACAATTTTAGGCAAACAGCATAAAAGCCGTCAACAGCATTCTGATGACAGTTTGACCACACTTGAAGCTCAATAAAAAAAGTCTGCTAAGTTTAAGAAGAAAACAAAACAAACAAACACTTGATTTGAAAATCTATTTTCTCTATTTCTGTTAAGTCACATTAAAATATATCAAGTTAAAAGGGCTTTTATGTACTCTGCTCAGCTTGGAACTCCCTAAAATATCTTTTTAAATTGAAAGAACTTGTCTCTCTTTAAATCAACTTTAAATCACTGATGAAGGACTTTAAGGCGGATTCAATTACTTGTCATTGTTTGTAATTCAGTTATTGTGAATCAATTTGTTCTTGCATGTTATTGTTGTATTGTATTTTTGCAGCTTTCATACAACCACTTGCTATCACAATGAGCCTTTCCTGTTTAAATAAAGGTTTAATAACAGTCTTAGTTAGACAAATCAACTGAGTAAAAGTTACAGTCTTTATTTATGTTGTTCAAAGTCTCTCCACACCTTTAATACATTTAAGGGCTGTAAGTGCGCAAATTAATCGTTTGCAGTCCACAGGGAGGACTAGCGGGCCCTTTCAACCTAAAATGGTTTCAAGAAATTGAATCAAACATTGGAAGTGTTCAAGGCCAAACAGTGTGAGCAGCTACACTGAGATATCACCTGACATCCCAGCCCTCTTTTATCTTCTTTATCTTCTGGCTGTCTTGTGCTTCCTTTGGTCACATTAGAGGATTTTGGGGATTTTTTTTTAAATTTTATTAGTAGTAACCACTTTACCTACTTGCATCCAATTTCACCTTAAAACGCAAATCAAAAGAAGGTCATCCATCAAGACATTAAGAATTTATCTTTTGTCTGAGCCAGGCTGCAAGAACGCTGCAAAGCGTGACAGGATGTCTGGCTCTTGTTATGTGTGCGGCGACGGAGCTATTTCAGAGGCTTTTTGTTTTTTGGACACCGAGCTGCTCCCTCCAGCAGAAAGTGAGCAGCCCTTCTTACAGTAAGAGCGAAAGATAATATATTTTATTTTATGTGTTTTGGGAAGAGAGCATGTTAAACATATATTAAACATAAACCCATTTAAAGCTAATTGAATACAAATAAAGGGTCAGGGTATAAAATAAGAAAAGTGGGCAAAGGGACATATCAGGTATTAATGTTAACTGTTATATTTTTCCTACCAGTAGGTGAGATATTCTATGTCCAGACTATTATAAGAAGTGAGGGCCCCCTAACATATTTTTCTTGGACAGGTCCCACACTACATACACACCACATATGCACACAGATACACATCCTCCATGAAAACTCAGTGTGCTTGGAGAGGGAAGGCGGACATTTCGGGTCGCGTGGCTACATTATACTATAGTAGCGGCTTTTATGAGACAGACAACATGCCTGACTCCAGCGGGAAAACCTCATGATGGACAGGCACTTTACCTGTGCCAAGAGCAGGCAGGCTAGGAGGAGGGAAAATGAAATAAAATCAATACTCGAACATAACTTTTTAAATAAACATTTGCACTCCACGGACATTGTTGGCAGTGGGAGCCAGTAACCTGTCCCCATTGGTGGAACTCAACACCAGACCGTTTGAGGAGCACTGGCTCCCATCGAGGTGATGGCTACTGGCAAGATGTGACGTGAATAGCTATGTTATGTTTATCCAAGGTAAAAGAAGAGGTGGTTTTGGGGGGGGCAGGGCTGAATTCCTGCAGTGAGGCTGCTCTTTCCCTGAGCATGGGTTTTCACAGCTTGCTGATGATGCTCAAAGATGCCTTAACCTCAGCAGGAGTGATGCCTACCCACTTTAAGCAACAATTCTCCACCAAGAGGCAAGAAATTAGATGAAGCTGCTTCAACTACAGCAGGACTGTATTTGAAGGTGTGATTCAACAATGGCTTTCTGTTTTTGTGGTGAGGATAGCTGTGCATTTTAAAAGGCAGACACCTTTGGAACTTAGTTTTGAAACACCAAGTCAGTGTGGGACATTTTTCTGAGTAATTTAAAAAAAAAAAAAAAAAAATTGCCATTTTTATTTTTAGGAATAGTCAGTCAAAAATGCTTTAAAGAAACTGCTACACCTCATTATTCATCTGGTTAGGATGTAAAGTAAAACCTTTGCAGAAATCCACAATAGATCTTCATTAAACCAGAATGCAAGTCAGCCATAAAACACAGAGCGGGGTATCCTTTGAAATGTTTTTTGCTTCGTTATGATAGTGGTAGCTGAAAGGAAGAGAGAGGGGATGATATGCAGCAAAGGGCTCAGGCTGAACCCAAGCTGTCAAATGGGTTTCTCTTCAAAGCCAGTTTTTACATTAAAAGAATTAAAATGAGTTAATTTAATCTTAACCCTACAGAACAAATACTATCTGTTCAGCATGACGGAGGACAAGGCTATGTGAGGAATATGAGTCCCCACCCTGCATGTACCATAAGTAGTGATGGCAGGATGAAGCTATGGGGCTTTATTTCTGGGCTAGAAATAAAAGTGTAAAGCGTCTTTGCATCTGTGACATCTGTTTGCAAAAGGCATAGCAGCCCTTCAAGATGGGCTAAAGCACTGCAACTTTCAGTTTCATATTGTTGCAGGTTCTCAATGTATGAAAGGACTACAAGAATTGCATGACTCTGCTCGAGACCAAAGTGGTGGTTTTCAGCACACATTTAAATTTGTGTAAAATCCTTAATAGGCTTAAGTACTGATGCCATCATGACACAAGGTCAAAACATTAAGGTTAGTATCCTGGCAACAGCAGTTTGATTTAAATTAAGGCAACTTTGTAAACTCCGAATGCTCTGGTTTCAATGACATTAGATTTGTAGGAAACCAAAGGCATATTGGTCATTTAACCTATTCACCAAATTCTAGAACACACCAAGTCAAAAATCAAGTCAATGTTTTATTAAGAGCAGAGACAAGTACAGGTAGATGCAGAAACAATTTAGATGCACGAGTCTCTTGCATGGCTCCTAAAAATGCAAGTGTCACTTCGATTGGGTCTCACTGCTGCTGGGGGCCGCGCTGGTGGCCGGCATCTCGCTGGGGCCGGCGCTGATCAGTCCGGCTTTATGCAGAGATCACAGAAACTTGGTTAGCCACATTGTGAGGCCATGAATCTGTTGCATACATTTTAGTAGTAGCATTTCACAGAATCTGCTCACCTGCTGTGACATCTTGCTGCAGTAGTGTTTCAGTTGTGCTGGCCATCTCGCTGCTGCTGCCGGGGCCGGTGGCCGGCATCTCGCTGGGGCCGGCGCTGATCAGTCCGGCTTTATGCAGAGATCACAGAAACTTGGTTAGCCACATTGTGAGGCCATGAATCTGTTGCATACATTTTAGTAGCAGCATTTCACAGAATCTGCTCACCTGCTGTGACATCTTGCTGCAGTAGTGTTTCAGTTGTGCTGGCCATCTCGCTGCTGCTGCCGGGGCCGGCGCTGGTGGCCGGCATCTCGCTGGGGCCGGCGCTGATCAGTCCGGCTTTATGCAGAGATCACAGAAACTTGGTTAGCCACATTGTGAGGCCATGAATCTGTTGCATACATTTTAGTAGTAGCATTTCACAGAATCTGCTCACCTGCTGTGACATCTTGCTGCAGTAGTGTTCAGTTGTGCTGGCCATCTCGCTGCTGCTGCCGGGGCCGGCGCTGGTGGCCGGCATCTCGCTGGGGCCGGCGCTGATCAGTCCGGCTTTATGCAAAGATCACAGAAACTTGGTTAGCCACATTGTGAGGCCATGAATCTGTTGCATACATTTTAGTAGTAGCATTTCACAGAATCTGCTCACCTGCTGTGACATCTTGCTGCAGTAGTGTTTCAGTTGTGCTGGCCATCTCGCTGCTGCTGCCGGGGCCGGCGCTGGTGGCCGGCATCTCGCTGGGGCCGGCGCTGATCAGTCCGGCTTTATGCAGAGATCACAGAAACTTGGTTAGCCACATTGTGAGGCCATGAATCTGTTGCATACATTTAGTAGTAGCATTTCACAGAATCTGCTCACCTGCTGTGACATCTTGCTGCAGTAGTGTTTCAGTTGTGCTGGCCATCTCGCTGCTGCTGCCGGGGCCGGTGGCCGGCATCTCGCTGGGGCCGGCGCTGATCAGTCCGGCTTTATGCAGAGATCACAGAAACTTGGTTAGCCACATTGTGAGGCCATGAATCTGTTGCATACATTTTAGTAGTAGCATTTCACAGAATCTGCTCACCTGCTGTGACATCTTGCTGCAGTAGTGTTTCAGTTGTGCTGGCCATCTCGCTGCTGCTGCCGGGGCCGGCGCTGGTGGCCGGCATCTCGCTGGGGCCGGCGCTGATCAGTCCGGCTTTATGCAGAGATCACAGAAACTTGGTTAGCCACATTGTGAGGCCATGAATCTGTTGCATACATTTTAGTAGTAGCATTTCACAGAATCTGCTCACCTGCTGTGACATCTTGCTGCAGTAGTGTTTCAGTTGTGCTGGCCATCTCGCTGCTGCTGCCGGGGCCGGCGCTGGTGGCCGGCATCTCGCTGGGGCCGGCGCTGATCAGTCCGGCTTTATGCAGAGATCACAGAAACTTGGTTAGCCACATTGTGAGGCCATGAATCTGTTGCATACATTTTAGTAGTAGCATTTCACAGAATCTGCTCACCTGCTGTGACATCTTGCTGCAGTAGTGTTTCAGTTGTGCTGGCCATCTCGCTGCTGCTGCCGGGGCCGGCGCTGGTGGCCGGCATCTCGCTGGGGCCGGCGCTGATCAGTCCGGCTTTATGCAGAGATCACAGAAACTTGGTTAGCCACATTGTGAGGCCATGAATCTGTTGCATACATTTTAGTAGTAGCATTTCACAGAATCTGCTCACCTGCTGTGACATCTTGCTGCAGTAGTGTTTCAGTTGTGCTGGCCATCTCGCTGCTGCTGCCGGGGCCGGCGCTGCGTGGCCGGCATCTCGCTGGGGCCGGCGCTGATCAGTCCGGCTTTATGCAGAGATCACAGAAACTTGGTTACCCACATTGTGAGGCCATGAATCTGTTGCATACATTTTAGTAGTAGCATTTCACAGAATCTGCTCACCTGCTGTGACATCTTGCTGCAGTAGTGTTCAGTTGTGCTGGCCATCTCGCTGCTGCTGCCGGGGCCGGCGCTGGTGGCCGGCATCTCGCTGGGGCCGGCGCTGATCAGTCCGGCTTTATGCAGAGATCACAGAAACTTGGTTACCCACATTGTGAGGCCATGAATCTGTTGCATACATTTTAGTAGTAGCATTTCACAGAATCTGCTCACTGCTGTGACATCTTGCTGCAGTAGTGTTTCAGTTGTGCTGGCCATCTCGCTGCTGCTGCCGGGGCCGGCGCTGGTGGCCGGCATCTCGCTGGGGCCGGCGCTGATCAGTCCGGCTTTATGCAGAGATCACAGAAACTTGGTTAGCCACATTGTGAGGCCATGAATCTGTTGCATACATTTTAGTAGTAGCATTTCACAGAATCTGCTCACCTGCTGTGACATCTTGCTGCAGTAGTGTTTCAGTTGTGCTGGCCATCTCGCTGCTGCTGCCGGGGGGCGTGGCCGGCATCTCGCTGGGGCCGGCGCTGATCAGTCCGGCTTTATGCAGAGATCACAGAAACTTGGTTAGCCACATTGTGAGGCCATGAATCTGTTGCATACATTTTAGTAGTAGCATTTCACAGAATCTGCTCACCTGCTGTGACATCTTGCTGCAGTAGTGTTTCAGTTGTGCTGGCCATCTCGCTGCTGCTGCCGGGGCCGGCGCTGGTGGCCGGCATCTCGCTGGGGCCGGCGCTGATCAGTCCGGCTTTATGCAGAGATCACAGAAACTTGGTTAGCCACATTGTGAGGCCATGAATCTGTTGCATACATTTTAGTAGTAGCATTTCACAGAATCTGCTCACCTGCTGTGACATCTTGCTGCAGCAAGTCTGTATTACAAAAGAAATTATGTTAGTATCAGAATGAACCTCTGAAAAGATTTCACAGTTGTTCTTACCTCTCACTTTCCTCTGCAGCCCATCATCGCTTCTGTCATTTGTGCCACCAACTGGTAAACAAGAACCTAAAGAGGAGTGTTCTCACTGTTAATCAAGTTTGTGCTTTAATGGCAAAATATGTCATGAACTTTTTAGAGCCAAGTGACATTTCAGGAATTAAGCAATACTCAAAAGTTACCACATGGCACTCTCTCATAGCCAGAAGATTCTGTCTGAAAACATAATCTTTCTCTTACTTTAGCTGCACAGTGGTACCAATTTGTAAAACACAAGCTTCACACAGAAAAAAGATAAAAACCTTTGGCAAGACAAACAATCAGCACGCAAACAAGCACAGCCCGAACAGCTCCCATTGCTTCAGTTACCAAGAGAAAACGCTACCTGTGCCACATGCGAGGATTAAAAAGCCCATCATGCTGGTGACACAGGTGCTGCCGATCAGCTCTAATTGGCTCTCACTTTAGAGGAGTCAGAAGGCCTTTCTCATTTCATAAGCATAACATGTGAACCTGTACAAAGTGTATATAGAGTATGACTTTGCTGTTGTAAAAATTTCTGTTGCTGTTCAAGAAACAAAATAGAGTTATATTTAAGATAGTCAATTCTAATCCAGTTCTGAGTTTATAATGGTATCTGATTATTTGATGATTCATGTGTTATTGTTGTTGTTGGACTGGAGAGGAGAGGAAACAATGCAGTGGTCAAGCTGTCATGCACTAAAGACTGTAGTGATGGGCATTGCTGGAAATTCGGAGTCGTCAAGAAGGGGAGGAGAAGCTTCAGATTTGTCTTGAGCATTTTGTCAATAAAAGTGCGCTTATTTCAGCATTTTAATTATTTATTAAAAATGATTGTAGTTACTAATTTCGCTTACTAAAGGGCAACAAGCTATCGATCTATCAATGTACAATAGTAAACAGAATGGTATAGTCCCAAAGCATCTGCATGCACATTACTGGAATGTAAAAAATGTGTTCATCTCAGTGATGAATTAGTTGACCAAAGCAACAGTACATCTTGTGACTTGTTTTAATCCTTCTCAATCCAAATCAGTTTTATGACTTATAATCTGGTGTTGGCAAGATGAACTATGCTTGTAAGTAGGAGAAATACATTGCAGGTTTTGGTCTTTTCATAGACTATGCTAAGCTGAAACATCAATGGATTAGTTGGAGAGCAGGCTATAACTTCATCTTTAAGGGACTGGAGGGATCAAAATTGGCAGCACCTCTAACAAAAGACAGACAACGGAAAACAAATTAATTAAACCCATATCATTTAAAAAATGTGCCACTGATATGAACTTCTGTATCTGTATGCTAAAATAGAATGTACTTGCTTACTTTCAGCAACATGAAATTCATTTGCATTATCAAGAAAAAACTTTCTTGGGGACATTTGGTTTTGAAATAAAGTTGTTCTTAATGCTACAGCCGTTGCTCTATTGCTGTCCATAAACATTAAAACACATCTGTGAGCTACACAATGGCATGTTCCTTCATTAACATGACAGGCACTACATTTATTTGCAGTGATCGACAGACGTTCACACTGTCCTGTCACTGCAAATACTTACTGGAGCTCCAACTGTGTATTAATCCATGTCTACACATCACTGAGAAATCTAATGTAGCGTGCAGTGCCAACTTTAGGAAGATTTCAGACAGGCCCATAAAAGCAGCGAGGTTTGATACCAGTCCTGAAGAAGTGTGTGGGTTTAAGACACATCTCTCTTCTACCAAAATCAGCACTTTATTTCTTTAATAAAAAAAATATAAAAT